AATATTCAGTGGTACGTATAAATTTGGAATGCTTGAATATTCGAATATCGCGTGTAAACTTGGAATATTTATATATTTAAATACTCAACTGCAGGAATAGTATATTATTGATAGACTCGGTTTAACCCTTGGATGCCCTAAGTTTCAAATTTGATACCGGACTATCGAATCAGAATCGTACACTCGCAATTGGTTCGTTTTTAGTATTTGGCTGTATGTATGTTACCATTGCTTGATGTAAAATTATAAAAATAAACGTCGGTTGTTAAAATTGTTCAAATAATAAATACATTGATATCTTTTTAAATCGACCAACCACTTATGTTGACTTTGATCGAATTCATTTTTGTCTAAGCCTTCTAATTAATTTTCGCAAAGCATTATTCCATTAATAGGACTCTGATAAGAAATCTTCATAAAGTTAGCGTTAAATGGTAATTCCATATAGTAGTCTAGCGATTTAATTAACGTAAATCGGCATCTAAATTTACTCGATCATTTTTCTCGTAGATTACATCGTCAGCCCCCATAATCCCCATTGTCCAGCTTACGACGAGGCCTACAAGGAGTCCTTGGAGAATCCGGAGAAATTTTGGGGCGAAGTGGGGCAGTGCGTCGAATGGAGTAAACCTTGGACAAGAGTCTTGAATAATTCCAATCCTCCATTTACGAAATGGTAGGTGTTCATTTGTAATTTATATTTTTTGTCCACGTCGTCGAATCGCTTAGCGGGTCGACTCGTTTTTCACGAAGTTTCATCCATATACGTAACAGGATCTATTTTGCACTAACCGACGCAACGAATCCGTAGGTTCGTCGGTGGAGAGTTGAACGCTTGTTACAACGCGGTGGATCGCCACGTTCTCGCGGGAAACGGGAACAAAACAGCGTTGATCCACGACAGTCCCCAAATACCAACGGTTCGAAAAGTAACCTACAACGAGCTGCTGGAGAAGACGTCCTTGCTGGCTGGCGCGTTGGCTGACATGGGAGTCCGCAGAGGCGACGTGGTGGTCATCTACATGCCGTTGATTCCTGAAACCATAATAGCGATTTTAGCGACGACGCGTCTCGGTGCCGTTCATTCGATAGTATTTGGCGGTAAGGATGGGTTTCACGAACGCAGGATGAAAATTGATAACGCCACGAGCGAGAAAATTGCACGAGGCTTGTTCCTACGAATAAACTGACAGTCCTTCTTCTTTGTAGGATTCGCATCGAATGAATTAGCAAGTAGAATAAACCACGCGAAGCCGAAGGTGTTGATCGCGGCTAGCTGTGGCCTGGAACCGTCCAAGATCATTCAGTAGGTTTTATCTTTTTCTGAAATCGAGTGTTTACAAGAGAGATCTGCGACTACGAGTTATTGTAATTCTTGAATGCAGGTATACCGCGATGCTAAACGGCGCCTTGAACATCATCTCAGTACAAAAACCACAGTGCATCATATTTCAGAGGAGAGAGGTATGGGAGAGTCCTCTGTTAGAGGGTCAATTCGACTGGGACGATGTGTTGAAAAGGGCGAAACCGCACCCTTGTCAACCAGTCGAAGCGAACGAGCCGTTGTATATCATGTACACATCGGGAACAGCAGGTAGTCTATTCCTATTCTATTCCTATTCGTGAAACGCAAGCAGAGACTCGACTAAACTTTTTAACCAAAGGCCAACCGAAAGGGATTCTAAGGACGATCGGTGGTCATCTGGTATCCGTCTGCTGGACGATGAATACAGTTTATGGCATGAACAAGGACTCCGTTTGGTGGGTGGCCTCTGATATGGGATGGGTCGTCGGTCACTCTTACATTTGTTACGGGCCTCTTCTTTTCGGTGCGACTAGCGTGATGTACGAGGGAAAGCCTGATAGGACACCAGACGCAGCTCAATACTTCAGGTGAATAGGAATCGAATTTAAAGCGCCGAAGATACTGCTGTATATGTAGTTATTGTAGATGTTCTCCCGGTTAATAGTTTGGAAAGTATTTAACCCTTTAACCCGACTTTGAACCCCTATCGGATCGAACCACTAGGATTCGTTTTTCGGTAGGTACCTGTCTGTTGTACCGTAAGAACTCTTTGTAACAATGACAGGGTATCGCGGTCGGTAAAGTGCTCGGTTTGTAATCAATATATTCGAGCGGGGAAATGAGACAGGTAACTCTGCACTAAGGTAGAATACTCTGTTGCTAACGTAGCGTATGTTGTTTGTGAAACTCGGCAATATAGGAGCCTAATTGTTCGAAGGATTTATCAACAGACTCGAAGGACTGTTCTGCAATACTAAGTCGTTAAATAAAACGGAAATTGATTCTGTACACCGTTATCTTCAGCATTTTCCGGTCTAACAGGAATCCTATTTCTTGCAGGGTGATAGAACAGCACAATGTGAACGCATTGTTTTGCGTGCCCACTGCTCTACGAGTCATAAGACGTGCCGATTCAGAGCTGACGTTGGGTCGGAAATATTCAACGAAATCGTAAGCTTTTCGATCGATTACATCGTTGACATCGAAATACATGGTCGTCTTTGCAGGTTGAAGACCATATTCGTGGCTGGAGAGTTCTGCGACTACGAGACGAAGCTCTGGGCGGAGAAGGCGTTCAGAGTGCCGATCCTGAACAATTGGTGGCAATCGGAAACCGGTCATCCCATCACGGCGTTGTGTTTAGGATACGGTCACAACCCCAGTTTACCGAAAAATAGCACTGGCGTACCGATTCCTGGTTACCAGAGTAAGTTTGCGGTCCGTATAACGATCGGAATCATTTACCGATCGAAAGAGGCTCAAGGTTTTCAACCCTACGCTGAATAATTGAAAGTTACGTATAGACAAAAGTTAACCCTTCGTTTCAGTCGACATTTTACAAGACGATGGTAGCAAGACCGCACCCCACGAGCTAGGCAGAATCGCTGTTAAATTACCGTTGCCACCTGGCTGCGCGTCGACTCTTTATCAAGCTGACGAAAGATTCAAAGAGATCTATTTCTCGAGGCATCCGGTAAGCTTCGTTCTCGAAGTTAGAGAATTGCAAAAATCCTTCGAACTCAGACAACAAAGTACTTCCCGTGCTACCACTACGAATAATTTAATAATATAATAAAACGGCTGCAGGGTTATTACGACACTATGGACGTTGGCTACAAAGACGAATACGGATACATTTACGTGATGGCACGCGACGACGACGTCATCAACGTCGCAGGCCACAGATTGTCCACGGCAGCCCTAGAAGACATCGTCATGGGACACCCCGACGTCGTGGACTCTGCTGTCGTGGGTGTACCAGACTCTACTAAAGGAGAAGTTCCTTTGTGCCTTTATATAATGAGACCTGGTAAACGTTCGGAACGAAAGCCCGATATTTTCTTCTGATTTGTTTCGTTACCATTTATTCCTGTGCGTAGAAACGACGAAGAACGAAAAGGAAATCAACGATGAACTGGTTTTCCGCGTGAGATCGTTAATTGGACCCGTGGCATCGTTCAGGATAGCCGCGGCTGTAAGAGCACTGCCGCGGACGCGTTCAGGAAAGATAATTCGCAAGTCTATCGCCACTTTGGCTCGTTCGAAGCTCGTCAAGGTGAATGTCCCTGAAAGTAAAGATGCCGCGATGAGAGATGAGCGTTTATTTATTCACCGTTCGCCAATGTTAAATGTATGTTTTATTCTTTTTTAGATTTCAAGCACGATAGAGGATCCGTCGGTGTATCGCGAGATAAAAGAAGTACTCCAGAAACTGGGATATGCCAAACTAGCGCCGGATCCTCAATGATAAGTCTAGTTAAGATTTTACCATTTTTATTGTAAACCATTAGTAATCGCATGTCAAATGTAATAAACCCATATACGATATATGTATAGCCGACACCCATAGGAGAGTACTTGAGAACGACGCGTCGAAAAATCGCATTTCACAGTTATGTATATTTATAAATTGCACTGCAACTATAACATATATATATATATAATCATCCCACGAAATAGTAAAGAGAACTTTTAAACGAATTACATCGAAATGTGGAATTTAAACGGATCGATGTAACTTAACTTACCGTTCAGGTCTTTGCTCCGATTATATTTTCAAGTGTGCGATAATTCCATTCAGTGTAAAGTACGTAAAAGGGAAATAAAAGTAGCTACCACACATATGAAACTTTTTTATCAAAATTAAGGAAGCACGATTTTGTTGGAATTCTTTTTAATGATAATGTAATAAGAAACAGTATAATAATAATAATATTAATTTTATATTTAGAAATTGTTGTGTAACACTACCTGGCTGATTTATTCAATAAACTGCTTTCTATTTCATTCTTATTTTTTCCCAATAATCGAGTTTCATTTCTTTTTTAGTTGCTTGTCTTCTTCAATATTTAATCAACGTCACGAATATTTTTATACAAACCTAGCAAAATCATGGAATCACCTATCTACGAAAACACAAAATGGAAAAGACTTCACTGTTCCACTACATCGAAGGTAACGTAAATCGAGCCCATGGACAAAGTACCACCGTATCGTCGTTTTGTCACTGATAAAAATATAATAATTAATATATTTATTATTATAATCTGACATAATTACAAACGTATGTTATCATTGTAGACGCTATATCTTTCGAGCTCAAAAACGATCTCCGTTTCGACGGTACTAATTTCAACGAAGGAAGCGAATCCTTCGATTAAAGTAACTATTCGAAAGTTAAACATTTAACAAATACCATAGAGAAATAAAATTAACTCGAGACACATTTTACAAAGTCGTCTCAAAACGCTCTGGTACGAACAGAAAATGCATCCGGTCGAGAAAAACGACCGGTGTTGTTCGGCTTTCTCGCACGGAAAAAAATAATTGGTTGAGCCAGTCAAAAGAAAAACATCTCTTGTCAACCTAAGATCGTTACACATGTCCCAATCGAGCCTTTCGTTGTACGTGTCATGTTAATCGTTTAAAAAATGATAAATCTTTCTTATAAGAGTTTCTTTATAAGACTTTCACGTTATATTTTTGCTTTTTTATCAAACGAGTGGACGACCCTAAGGACGCTGGTAAGGCTATCGACAAAAAATAGTTAGCATTTCTCGATCCTTAGCACTAGCGATTCTGAGTACCGTAATGGGGACATAGATGGAAAATCCATTGGTAACGATAACCAATCATTTTTGCCCGTGCACCAACAAGAAAGCCACCTATCGTTAAACACTGCGTAATCTAAACAGCGATTTAAAACCAACATCCTTCAAACCAGCTCGAAGGGTGACAGGTATAAATAATTGACGCAATTCAATCTACAATTGTATTAAACCTCCTATTTTATTATCTGTGCTTTTTGAGCGGTCTGTCGTTAAATTTCGCGCGGTTTATTCTATTTTATCTCGTATCGATTCATCCGATCGACGATCGACGTCTCGTTCGATCGCGTTATCCGCGTCTTGTCCTTCGTTTCGCGAGCGCGGTCTCGATCGATCCTTGTCGCAATCAACTTTGACAATTCGTCATCGATTCGCCCAAGACTCTCTCTATTCGCTGTGTCTCGTCCTTTGTCCTTTCTTTGTTCGTCGGTGTTTGTGAGCACGGTTTTTCGGTATCGATACAAAGATTGGCGGTAAGAATAGCGATGTGTAACCCTTCGAGTGCTATGGGCACATATATGCGCCCAGAGAAAGCTATCGTTGCGGACTATGGACGCATAAATGCGTGTGTCAACCTTTTTGGTATATTTAATAAGTTCAAACATTCGTTACTTTCTATTTAAGATATGTTTTGCATTTAATAGCTTCAAAATAATTAATTAAAAAATAATTCTGTCCCTAGCGACCGCAACCGCTACGCGGATTGCTTTGGCCAAGAATATACAGCACTCGAGGGGATAATTATAGCAATTCCCAGAGTTTTACGTACGATCGAGTCTGAATCTTTCGCTGGGTTAGCTAACAATTTAATTAACACTTTTATCGAATTAGAAGTTAGAGTTAATTTCTTTAAAAATATCTCAAACATATTATAATCATTGATTGTAATCACTTCGATCGAAAATTGATTCAAAATCGATCGAACACCCCTAGTTTGGGTTGAATATTTTAAACTCATGCAACAAGCACGCGACTCTGTACGCGAAAGAAAGGTTCATTCGAATATTACTGGAGTCATTAAGCCTTTGACCCTATTTCGAATTCCTGGGGTGAATCTTCCGTGAATGCTTAATTATCTACAGGCTGCAATGACCTAATCGCAAAATTTACGTTGTACTGTTCACTTATACGATTCACGCGACGACCAAACGATAGTACTTAATCACCGTTAATGTAACAGTAATTATACGAATGAACCTTCGATCACACTTACGTGTCACTTAATTCGGACAAAAGTTTCTCTCGTTTTATGCGAGCGAAAAATTGAGTGGAACGTTTGTTTCTCGAAAGTTTTGGGCAATTAAACAATGTCGCAATTCACGATTCGTATAGTAACACCTTTCACGCAACCGTGTATACATTTTAGATAAATTCTTCGACGTTTTGTACGTGATGGCACTTTGTGCGTCGCGATCGAATTAATAAACGTGGCAACCATACTAAGGTATTCGCTTATCGATACTGGACGCGGTATTACAAACGATAAGTACAAACAACGCATCGCTTCTAGGAAATTGTATGACGAGGATGATTACAGTCCAAACTAGATCAGCTGGTCGCTCAACTCCTAAGATTATTCCCATCGTATCGTTTGCTACTTTTTCGAAAAGAATTAACAAGTTTTGTCTGAATATTTATGCGATACAAAAAATGTAAAGAACATTTATAGAAATAAGCAAGATTAATCAAGTCTTTCCAGATCTTGCGTTTCAGATTTTTAGTTGCGTTATGTATGTAGCGAGACGAAGTAGCATTGAGCGACCATTTGATTCTGTCCCGCGCGTAGATTGCTGTGCCGTTTTGACAAACGTTTACGTGAAGATTCGTGAAAACGCAGTGGACGATTTTTCACCTCCTTAAAAGCTAAATCGAGTCCTATATCCGTAAGAGAACGTTGGAATCTTTCTAATTAATACAAGACACAATCGGTGAATAAACAATGCTCATTCTCGCTTTTGATGTTCGACGCTCGTTACGTACGAATAAGATTTCAATTCCTGCGTATCAATAAAGTATGCGATGTCGTTACACTTGTATAAAAACCGAATCCAAAAGTCGAGTCGTTTACAATCGTTACTAAATGGCGAGCACGAGTTCGGGATTACAACGGGGGTGTACTAACATCTGTGTCTGACTTGATACCGGAGCTAACTACTCGAAGCACTGTTTCTCAATTTCTAAAGGCAAGAGTAAACTATTTCATCGCTTTCTCGTCACCTTCGAGTCCCTATTTTTTTGTTCTCACAATTCATTGACCACGTTTGAGAAACGTTGCTCGAAGCGTTGATCGTATCTCCAGTATTTAAACTCTAATAAATAGAACGCCTCTGATAACTAGCGAGTATCGTAAATGTGTGTTAGCGACACCGAGCCTGATAAAATGGACGAATCGGGGATTAGAATCATCTGCAACAACGAGATCGACGAAATGCGTTTGAATTAGAGATAGATCGACAGTTAGAAGACAAAATTTAACAAAACTCGAGACCAGAGAGAGGGAATCGTAGAATCGTGTCAGAAAACTGTACAAAACTTATATACGAGTAATCGTGGGTCCTGTGACCATAATCTAACGTTATCGGTGACAATGGATTTGGTTTAGTTCTGTGTTCAAATTCTGTGAAATTTGTTGCAAAAAGATAAAGTACGTAGAAGCTGTACAACTCGACGGTTTTGGCAACTTATTTTTAAGAGTGCGTGTTGAGAAAGTAAGGTATCTGGGAGCGATTGTGGCTGATGTTAAAAGTGTCAAGACTTTCGAAGAATCGCGAATTTGAAGAGTATTTGCGACATGATCCACATGATGAATTTGCGCGCGACAATCGAGACGACGATGACAATGGTTGGTGAGTTTGTGATCTGCGACAATGTTCGTTAGGAACCGGAAACAGGAAGAGGCGAAGGACACCTTAATGGATCTTCGCTGCTTCGACTTCTTTGCCTCCTCGTGCGGTGGATTGGCCTTTGTCAACCAATCTTTATCCATCGATCGATCGAATATTCCAGAGCTGCTAGCCACCTGAAATGCAAACGTAGCTTTTAATCGAATTTGTTTCAGAAAAGACTACGATAAAGAAATTACCCCGTAGAGGGAGTCATTGGTAGCAATTGTTCCAAGTAAACAATCGATAACCATATTGGGTCAACGAGGGTCAAGAAATCCGTGCCAGCCATTGTACATTCTACGTATCGACTGTTTTCCTCGACACATATTTCTGCCAGTACGTGATATTTAACGGGGAGGTAGCTGAGACGATTCTGAACCACAATTTCCTTTACAAAAATGTCGGCTGCTGTTTCATGGTGATCGTGGTAGTTTTGGCGTAAATTATCGAATAGTTTTCACGGTTAAAACGCAAAGCAGTCGCTCACCGTTTTTTGTCCATTTCGGATTCTGTGGCGAATATGTAGCTCCTTTGCGTGGGATCGGGTGGCTGTAGCTCGAACGAGTGCTTCCTTCCACCGGAAGTGGGCGCGCTGCCGTGCACCCTGAAGCCGTGAAGACAAGCGACGCCGAATGCCTTCTCCGCGTTGACGTCGTCGTAGAAATACAACGCGGCGTCTTTCAGCACGCAATATCGGTTGGACCAGCCAGTCGGCGAGGATGTTTTTCTCGCGTGCTCTTGCTGCTTGCTGAGGTATCCGAAGCAATCTGGTCTCTGAATGGCGCACGCTGCCATTTCACGCATTCTCAACGACGCCTCGAGCCAGGTGTCGACCTGTAAAAGACATCAGGAATGTCGAACGAAGTCGAGGAATTTGGTACACCTCACGATTTAATACTTTTCGAATCGTGGACGTTACAAATGACCTACCACGAACTTCTCGTAATAAAAAATTCTAATAAAAAATTCTACCGACGTCGGCTACGAAATCTTTGTAACCGTTGAAAAATTAAACGAACGAAATTTAAATCCGAAGAATTCCGTTCCGCGAGCAAGGTCTAATTAGCTCGATCGATCCAATTATTAAATTTCACCGATTGAACAATGCAATTCCCACGGAACACTTCAATTTCCCAGCGAGGCCGGCTGGTAAAACAACTCGCGCAACTATATCACCGGTACCTGGAAATTTAAAACGAATCCTATTTTCCTAGACTCGCGGAAGGACTAAAAGTTTCTGCATTTCGTTAAATCCGTTGATTCTGCTCGATACGAGCGGTGCACGCGGAATGGTTCGAAATTTATCGCGACTCCGCGAGTTCTTTAAGCATGTACTATAAGTTCTCGAGTAAGTCGGTCTCGAGTTGAGCGGAGTCGCGGATACTTTACGAACAAATGAGAAAGAAAGTTGAAAAGAACGTTCCATCACAAGTGGAACATAAAAAAAGACGAAATTTGTGCGTTCATTAGCTGTGGAATTAGGGGATAACTATCGAGTAAGTTGCAAAGCGTACCTGATCGTTTCTTTCGATGGCTTCCTTAATGACGGTCATCCATCGGATCGCAGCTTCCTCGGTGTCCGCCGCGAGTCGAAGCGTCGGTGCACCTTGTTTCTTTATCGCGAAACTGTGTAACCTCAGTTCAGGCGTTTGCTCCACGTCGTATTTTATCAGCATTACCGCCCCCACTGGCTGTGAATCCTGCGAATGGAATCGCACACCTCGTGAACCATTTATCGAATAAACGATCGTCCGTAAATACTTGTCATTTCGATGGATGTGTAATTCTTGGTCAAGTATGGGAATGGATTTAACTTCAACGAGGCGCGATCGAACGACTTTTCACGTGACAAACGATTGTTTTCCAAGTTGGAGCCATTCGTGTTATCCGAGATGCAGATTTTCTTAGATACAGATGTAAGAAAATATAAAGTTAATCCATTCACTGTCACGCAACTTTAAAGCATTTTGCCTCGGGCGCCAAGATTTAATACAGATGTGTAATCTAAGTTATTAATATTATTCGGATCTACTTTCGCAATAATTCGTGACTCAAAAGGCTATAAACTCATCCTCTGAGTAATTGCAATCAATCGTGGGTTAAATACACTATTTATTATTTAAAACAATATTGTCCATCGTTGATTCAATATTTTTCACTCACCGCGTCAGTCTTATAGTAGTAGAAGCAGTTGTCGCGACGCAGAGCAAACCATCTTCGAACCCACTTGTCCGTGTTCGAGGACGTAGCAGATTTCCTCCAGAGGTATCCAGAACAGAGCGGCACTTCCTGAGGGCCTTCCTTCGCCCCTGGCCTGGCGACTTTCGGTGCCAATACGTTGCAGGTTCTCGCGACTTCGAGTTCAAGAACGTCGGTGCCAGAGTGCGCGAGCCTGACGACTTCCGAGTGCGTCGCGTCCATGACACTTTTGCCGTTCACCGACATCACAATGTCGCCGATTTCGAGACCGGAGCTCTCCGCTGGGGTGTCAGGTTCGATGGCGGACACCACCACTGGTTTCGAGCCGTGTATACGGAACCCGAACTCGCCGCCAGCTTCGCGTTTCACTACAACTCTCTTGTCGCTTTCTGCAATTAATATTGATTCTTATCGTTATTAATCGAGAAGAATAACGAAGAGCTTCTAACGGTTACCAGCTAACGAGACCTTGCCATACGTCACGCGCAGCTTGTTTGTCGATGCTTAGAAAACTGGACGATTTGATTCTTACCCATTTTGTAAAAACGATATCTATTGTAGGAGTCTAAACGAAAAATAAGGCACGGGGATTCGAATCCACGATCCTCGGATTCACAGTCGACCGCTTTACCTACGCGACCAATCCCGTACCCTACGTTTCGTGTTCTTATTTGACTCGTTATTGTTGGGTATGGGAGGCGCGGATACTACACTCGGCTATCCTGAATTGACATTCATTCGCCCTCGAATGTCCGTTTTCTCGGGTTTTGCGTCTCAACAGCAGTGCGCGCCGCGCCCTCTTTCGCCGTTTCTCCTCTTCTTGGAAGTCCCACTCCGACAACACCTCAAGTTGCCCCTTCCCTGGAGTGTACTCCCTTCTCTCTTTCTCTCTCGACGCCTCACTGCTGCCCGCTCCCCACCGTCAACACGACACCCGTCATTCGTTTCTCATTGTTGTTCATCGTGACTCATCGTCACTGGCCGGTCCTCTTCGGTGTAATTGCCGCTGTAACCCCCCATCCCGGACGAGCCCCCATATGTAAGAGTCTAGACCGCTTTATCTACGCGACCAATCCCGTACCCTACGTTTCGTGTTCTTATTTGACTCGTTATTGTTGGGTATGGGAGGCGCGGATACTACACTATGATTTCCGACAAGAACAAGGAAGTCGAATAATTTAAGAATCAAGCGTGGAAGGAAAAAATATTGCAACCACTTACATTTGTTTCTTTAGTTTTGTTGCAAATATTTATAACGCGGCTACTTTTACAGTCGATTACGTTTTCCGGCGGAATGAGTGTCGGGTTACTTGGACGAACTCTCCTCTCCATGCAATAACTCATCCCTCGCATGGAAGATTTATATGTAGAGTTTTCTGCCCGGTTTACGGTAGTTTCGATTTTCCAAATTTACATCCAGACCTGCGGGGTTTGTTTACTGTTTCATATCACGTTGTTACGCGTCCGTAAAAGCGGACTTTTGGTTTGTAAACGACGGCGAATGTACTGCACATGTTTTCACATGAAATTCCACGAAAAAGCAAGATGGTCTCTTTTTATTTCTATGCACCAGCTGCGGAAATTGCAAGGTTGTCCTTTTTGAGTGAAGTTTAATTAAATTTCGTTTGAGAAATAACAAAATTGTTTCGGCTATATCTCGTATTTATTGATAACGATATCAAATACTTGCTACACAAGTATTAAACAGAAAGTAATGTAAATGAAAAAGATACGACTACTTTGTATTTTTATGTTTAAATTTGATCGTATATACAGAGTATAATACGTAAAAAATATGTGTTTGAAATAAAGACTCAGAAATCTGTTGTAAAATTTCAGCGTACGAAGCTTTGTTTTCGAGAAAATCGGGTTTGAATGGTTCAAATTTAACAATGGAGTGTGCATTTCATTACGTTTTAACGAATGCACGCATTTGCAATTCATTGTACCTATTACTTCTTTTGTTTGCAAAAATCAACGATGGTAGTATTGAATATAACGTAACACGTTTCGTCATTTATTTATTTAATTATTATGTGCCTTGTAATAATTAATGTTACTGCGACTAATCAAAGTTAGGGTTGAAAAGTGTGTATACAGGGTGTCCCAAAACTCGGGGAGGAGCCGGAAATGGGGGGTAGCTGAGACGATTCTGAACAACAATTTCCTTTGCAAAGATGTCGGATGGGGCTTCGTTAAGGAGATATTAAGCGAAAACCCCGACCAATCAGAGCGCGCGTAGACCGTTGGAGCGGCCGCGGTAGCGAAGGTTACGCGCTAGGTCGATGCTTCGCTACCGCGGCCGCTCCAACGGTCTACGTGCGCTCTGATTGGTCGGGGTTTTCGCTTAATATCTCCTTAACGAAGCCCCATCCGACATTTTTGCAAAGGAAATTGTTGTTCAGAATCGTCTCAGCTACCCCCCATTTCCGCCTCCTCCCCGAGTTTTGGGTCACCCTGTAGATCTTCGGGACATACTTGACTCGTTAAAACAAAACGTTTCAATGATTAGAGCTGTCATATTCTGACCGCGGTCAAATAAATTGGCAACTCTGAAGGTTTGTTTGTCGGTGACGTTGTCATTGTCGCGTTTGACTACATAACGGTGGCACGTTTGTATCAGACGATCTGATTCACTTTTAGACATTTCTACGAACTCTAGTCAAGCGGATGATGATCTTTTTAAGTTTGTAGTTCGGATCGTTGCACTCATAGGACGCTGGCCAAAAATTGTTGGACGTCGCCTGCATATAATGCACTGAATACCAGCGGGAAATGGTTTAGCTAAATACTTTGTTTTAAAGATGACGACTTTTTTGACATTTATTTGTTCCTTGAGGATAGTGTCGAGGATAGTGCACTTCAGTATGCTTTACATTTACAAAAAGTTTCATTTAAATCGGAATTTCTAACTTCGAAAGCTTCCCTTGTTGAACGATTTTTTCGGAAATAGACATTCATATGTAGAATTACCTCATTTAGAATTATTTCATTTTAATGAAAACATTTTTTCAATAGAGGTATTTACTTCATAAAATCTATTTGAATTATTCTTCATAATACCATCGAAAGTAAAATGATCTCCTTTAAAACGTGCCTTTTCCCCGATACGTTTCAATAATATAACAAATGAAAAGCCTCGTCGATGTGCTTGAAAGTGTTGATTGATGAAATTAAATTCCTCCAAGTTTCGCTCTCTGTTTAATTGCTATCGATTCTCCGTGTAAAAGATACGCTGAATTAAGTTATAAATGATGAAGTTTATTCATGAATTTTATTTTCAGCGCTGGTCGATAAATACTGGTTATTCTCGAGAATGCTACAAGTCAATTAAACGTTTTATAAAATTACGATTTTATCTGGTAAAATGAAATTCATGCAAATATATTTGTTCAAGCATAGTAGGCGAAGTAAATGATGATTCAACGTTTATTTTTCCGAATAGAAACATATAACTTTTATATAAAACTTTTATTGTGCTGCTACTGCGATAACAATCCTTCAACGCGAAATTATTCTCCGAGTGTCTGGCATGTTTATATTTCCCCCAGCAGTACAAACAATAGCTGTGTTAGTATTCCAGTAACAAAAACATGGTATATACTACGTAATTCGTCTTTGCAGTCTGGAATTGCTGAAAAAGCATCGCATTCGGAGAAGAGGAAAGTGAATTAAATATATAAAGTGAGTTTTAAACAACATCGAATATGATTACACATCGTTTTTTCAGAAAGAAGAAATTTTGGTAATTCGCAACTGAAAAGAGAGTACTATACTCAGCCCAAAGCAAGTGCACAAATAGAAAGGAATAGAGGGTAAAAATAAAATGAAAGCGGGACACTGCGCGTCGCTGTGGTCGCATAAATAAATGCACTTCTAGTTCATTATTTCTTTTATTCTTTTTCAACGTGAACGACTGCGACACGAGAGATGCAGAAAAATGACGTGAAATGTAATAACGAAAATATTTGAAAAAAAAAAAAAAAATATTTGATAGGAGAAGGTTGGAATTGGATCCTTTCTCTGGGAAACGAGACAGGCACCGTAAAGTAAATACTATCGAAGCACACTTTTTACTTCTCCTTTATAAACGGTCTGCAAATTTGTCATTGCATTGTAATTAAATGTACAGAATATTCCTACTTGCTAATGTTCAGTGCGTTCTTCAGACACGTGAGTTTCTAATTACTTGGAGCACGGTTCCGGTAAATCGTAGCGATTTGTAGGATAAGCGTTCCCTTCGCGGTATTAATTACGTAACAGTGTAATAGGAAGTTGGAAGCGATAATAACGATTTCCAATTTCGCTTCAATTACTATTCTGACATCTGGCACACGTTGAGGTACAATGCACGTGTTTACACTACTTGTTACGCATATGCGAATCGATTCGGATCGAACCAATGGGCGATGGTAAAATAAGACAGAATTGTGCGTGGCCCATGAGTGCAAGGCGTCGCTAAAATAATTAATTGCGTCATTGCATGCCGAGCGTAGCGTACTATGTTTGCGTGCAAAACGATAACCTGCTCTCGTATTAACGGGCAATATCCACCGAGCCCCAACTCAATTTTTAAAAAGCTTTCGCAGCCTCGTAGACGGGTCAGAGAAGGGGACGTGAATTTGTTAGCTTTGGTAACTCAAGTTTAAGTGGCGAGACTACTTACTTACAATAACTTACTTACATAATTACTTACAATGCTACATGCAATCTCGCTACAATGTTTTGTCGAATGTCCATCGAAGGATATTTTTCGTCGTATTTTTTTTTTGCTCGTGTAAAATATAAGAAAGTGTATCGATTAAACGTTGTTTGTCTTTAAGAGCCCCCGTTTCCTGGTGGCGCCTGGGAACGCCATCTCATACATCACGCGAAAGATCTCAGTAAACTTTAAACTATCGCCCAAGTATTTTGTCATTGTCTCCATAGTTCCTCAGAAAATAACTTGCAACGTTTTAATTCACTCTACCTATTACAGAATTATAAAATATCTTTTCCAGCACATCGTCCATTTAAAAATCTTTGGAAAGAAATTCAATTCAACCTTGTTACTTTATCTCCTTTTTCTTCTCTTCCGTTATTTCTTTCCTAGTCCGTGTTTTCTTTTTCTTCCAACACGGTCAATCAAAGTTTTATTTCAATCGTACAAACGACATTCGTTATGAAAACGTGCGAAACAAATAAACGAGCGAACTTTTCCTCTCTGTACTATTAGTGCGAAGTGTGATAGACACTCGAACGCATAATGAAAGGGTAATAAGCGATCGTAACGGGGTCGAAATGCAGGCAAAATAAAAGCAGGTCGAGCCGAAGTTATTCAGAAACGCATCATGCCATAAAAATAAGCGAGTCCTTGCGTCACCAGGCATCGAACGTAATCGACTGTGTA